CGATCAGACGAACCCTTGAGGCACTTTTGACGCGCCCCTTCCTTTAAGGGCCGATTAAGGGGTAAGGGGTAAGTTGCACACATCTGGAACCCGAGGCTGCGGCTAGATATTGACCCGAGGAATCGATTGCGACCCTTATTTTGGCGATCAGACGAACCCTTGAGGCACTTTTGACGCAATCGATCTGGAGCCCTTAAAGGAAGGGGCCTTCCTTTAAGGGCCTATTAAGGGGTAAGGGGTAAGTTGCACACATCTGGAACCCGAGGCTGCGGCTAGATATTGACCCGGGGAATCGATTGCGACCCTTATTTTGGCGATCAGACGAACCCTTGAGGCACTTTTGACGCGCCCCTTCCTTTAAGGGCCGATTAAGGGGTAAGGGGTAAGTTGCACACATCTGGAACCCGAGGCTGACCCGGGGAATCGATTGCGACCCTTATTTTGGCGATCAGACGAACCCTTGAGGCACTTTTGACGCGCCCCTTCCTTTAAGGGCCGATTAAGGGGTAAGGGGTAAGTTGCACACATCTAGAACCCCAAGCTGCGGCTAGATATTGACCCGGGGAATCGATTGCGACCCTTATTTTGGCGATCTGACGAACCCTTGAGGCACTTTTGACGCGCCCCTTCCTTTAAGGGCCGATTAAGGGGTAAGGGGTAAGTTGCACACATCTGGAACCCGAGGCTGCGGCTAGATATTGACCCGAGGAATCGATTGCGACCCTTATTTTGGCGATCAGACGAACCCTTGAGGCACTTTTGACGCGCCCCTTCCTTTAAGGGCCGATTAAGGGGTAAGGGGTAAGTTGCACACATCTGGAACCCAAGGCTGCGGCTAGATATTGACCCGGGGAATCGATTGCGACCCTTATTTTGGCGATCAGACGAACCCTTGAGGCACTTTTGACGCGCCCCTTCCTTTAAGGGCCGATTAAGGGGTAAGGGGTAAGTTGCACACATCTGGAACCCGAGGCTGCGGCTAGATATTGACCCGAGGAATCGATTGCGACCCTTATTTTGGCGATCAGACGAACCCTTGAGGCACTTTTGACGCGCCCCTTCCTTCAAGGGCCGATTAAGGGGTAAGGGGTAAGTTGCACACATCTGGAACCCGAGGCAGCGGCTAGATATTGACCCGGGGAATCGATTGCGACCCTTATTTTGGCGATCAGACGAACCCTGGAGGCACTTTTGACGCGCCCCTTCCTTTAAGGGCCGATTAAGGGGTAAGGGGTAAGTTGCACACATCTGGAACCCGAGGCTGCGGCTAGATATTGACCCGAGGAATCGATTGCGACCCTTATTTTTGCGATCAGACGAACCCTTGAGGCACTTTTGACGCGCCCCTTCCTTTAAGGGCCGATTAAGGGGTAAGGGGTAAGTTGCACACATCTGGAACCCGAGGCTGCGGCTAGATATTGACCCGGGGAATCGATTGCGACCCTTATTTTGGCGATCAGACGAAGCCTTGAGGCACTTTTGACGCGCCCCTTCCTTTAAGGGCCGATTAAGGGGTAAGGGGTAAGTTGCACACATCTGGAACCCGAGGCTGCGGCTAGATATTGACCCGAGGAATCGATTGCGTTCCTTATTTTGGCGATCAGACGAACCCTTGAGGCACTTTTGACGCGCCCCTTCCTTTAAGGGCCGATTAAGGGGTAAGGGGTAAGTTGCACACATCTGGAACCCGAGGCTGCGGCTAGATATTGACCCGGGGAATCGATTGCGACCCTTATTTTGGCGATCAGACGAACCCTTGAGGCACTTTTGACGCGCCCCTTCCTTTAAAGGAAGGGTGCCACCTTTTGGACACAACGCAGTTTTTACAAGATTAGCCTCACATGAACCTAAAAACCGGCTTCACTTACCTATGCTCGAGACGGTCAGCATTGAATCCACACGTGAAGTTATCATTTGCGAGTTTTGCTGCCAGCATTCGGGCAGGCAAAAATCTTCAGCACTATTTCCTCGTCGTGTTAAGGGTATTTTATAAAACATGAAATCAGCAAAGGTATGTATGAAAGTTATACTTTTGAAGCATGTTTTATCATTTTGAAAGGGTATATTTTTTCTTTATGGTATACACTTAAGTTTTAAAATTTTAATTGGGAAGTTTTTCTAGTAAGTTGCATGAAGGGTGAAGGGTTCCATAGATCTCTTAAGCATTGTAAAGGAAAAACCTTTACTCGACTTATTTGATGTTCTTTTGAATAACCAATTAGGTGGCAAATATGGCCAACAGTTACCTACTTGGTTACCTACAACTTAGTTCAAATCATGTTATCTTCTTCCTTTTTATTTGTTCATCTTTTTGTCTCAGTTGCGCCATCAATGCAAATGGCAGAATGATATGTTGCCATGACAACAGGATATGCCAGCCGTCCTAGCTGCCACATCAAACGACCTTGAGTTGTAGTGGTGATATAAACAACGATCTTTTTTTTGGCCAATGTATTAAATGCAATGTTTCAGTTTTTTGTATATTGTGGACGCGCTAACCACGTCTAAAAATTCAAATAAGTAAAATAGATTCATAGAACAAAAATTTCGGAAGGTGGCACCCTTCCTTTAAGGGCCGATTAAGGGGTAAGGGGTAAGTTGCACACATCTGGAACCCGAGGCTGCGGCTAGATATTGACCCGAGGAAGCGATTGCGTTCCTTATTTTGGCGATCAGACGAACCCTTGAGGCACTTTTGACGCGCCCCTTCCTTTAAGGGCCGATTAAGGGGTAAGGGGTAAGTTGCACACATCTGGAACCCGAGGCTGCGGCTAGATATTGACCCGGGGAATCGATTGCGACCCTTATTTTGGCGATCAGACGAACCCTTGAGGCACTTTTGACGCGCCCCTTCCTTTAAGGGCCGATTAAGGGGTAAGGGGTAAGTTGCACACATCTGGAACCCGAGGCTGCGGCTAGATATTGACCCGAGGAATCGATTGCGTTCCTTATTTTGGCGATCAGACGAACCCTTGAGGCACTTTTGACGCGCCCCTTCCTTTAAGGGCCGATTAAGGGGTAAGGGGTAAGTTGCACACATCTGGAACCCGAGGCTGCGGCTAGATATTGACCCGGGGAATCGATTGCGACCCTTATTTTGGCGATCAGACGAACCCTTGAGGCACTTTTGACGCGCCCCTTCCTTTAAGGGCCGATTAAGGGGTAAGGGGTAAGTTGCACACATCTGGAACCCGAGGCTGCGGCTAGATATTGACCCGAGGAATCGATTGCGTTCCTTATTTTGGCGATCAGACGAACCCTTGAGGCACTTTTGACGCGCCCCTTCCTTTAAGGGCCGATTAAGGGGTAAGGGGTAAGTTGCACACATCTGGAACCCGAGGCTGCGGCTAGATATTGACCCGGGGAATCGATTGCGACCCTTATTTTGGCGATCAGACGAACCCTTGAGGCACTTTTGACGCGCCCCTTCCTTTAAGGGCCGATTAAGGGGTAAGGGGTAAGAGCTAGGGCCAAATAAAGGTCATATTCTTGCTCCCCGTTCCCCAATTGACCTAATAGGGGAGAGCGGGGAGAGTTGTATCATGTCCAAGTTGTATCAGGGCGAATTGTGCCAAACTTATACAATGGATGGCGCTCGCGACACGACCAGCCGACGAGGTTTTCCGGGCGCCATCTTTCCCTGTTCTGTCTTGTGGCTGAGTGGACGCGTCTCGAGGTGAGAGCCGATTTTATGTTTTCTTAATGTCATTCTAAAAAAGTAAGTTGAAAGAAAATGTGTGTTTTGGGCATTTAGATGTGCACGAATTTGAAAGATCTCCGTAGCGGTGGTGAGGGTAGGTTCTAGGGCTGCGTGAGTGAAAACGGATTTCTCCAGCTGTCCGCTGTATTTTTTAGCACGAGGATGTTTTTTCCAAGATGGCGGTTAGGTACATGTTGTATCAGAGCCGGGTGGGGTATGTTGTAACATGTATGTATGTATGTATGTATGTATGTACACTGAACAGGATCGGCGCTCTCCCCATTCCCGGCACCTCAGTACACTGAACAGGACCGGCGCTCTCCCCATTCCCGGCACCTCAGTACACTGAACAGGACCGGCGCTCTCCCCATTCCCGGCACCTCAGTACACTGAACAGGACCGGCGCTCTCCCCATTCCCGGCACCTCAGTACACTGAACAGGACCGGCGCTCTCCCCATTCCCGGCACCTCAGTACACTGAACAGGACCGGCGCTCTCCCCATTCCCGGCACCTCAGTACACTGAACAGGACCGGCGCTCTCCCCATTCCCGGCACCTCAGTACACTGAACAGGACCGGCGCTCTCCCCATTCCCGGCACCTCAGTACACTGAACAGGACCGGCGCTCTCCCCATTCCCGGCACCTCAGTACACTGAACAGGACCGGCGCTCTCCCCATGTGGTCGGCGTGGTCGGCTGAATGTCATGGTGAGGGGTACGCAGGCCATGGGACACTTGTGCCTACATCATTCTATCACATCACTGCGCTTCGCCCGGCTGGTGCGGTAGGTTACCCAAGGACGGAGAAACACTGGGTGCCGGGGAGACCGTCGGCACGTGTCGTAAAGCTGAAGGTCGCAAACGCACCTCGAAGGCTGGCATAAGACAGTGGGAAGCAAAACACGTTATGTCGTGAACCTATCGCGTCATAAAAACATCACATTTTTATGTTTTTGGTTGTCTTTTACGTAGGTGCCGAAACGGTGTTCCTAAACAAACTGAAAGCAAAACTGTACCGGGCCCAATCACATAGCCGAACTCAACGGCCATTCTTTATCGATTACGATTTCCCCACCCTTTTCAGTTGCTCAAATGGCTCTTCTCCCCCCCCCCCCCACCACCACCCCCAAACTCGACGTTCCCGAACTACCTGCCACTGACGGCAGCACGTGCGCACGTGCCGGCCTCGGTGACCTGCAGTGGGAATTTCCCGGTGACGATCGTCTACCACTGACCGGTGACTAAAATCGGGAGAAAGTCTGGCCGTGCCGCGGTCCCGGCGGGCCCACTTTTCACTCACCTCTGAAATCCCGGGCTGCTGGGTGTCCTCTGTCACCCCAGTCACTCCACTCACACCCCAGCGCTGTGTGGACGGACGCAGCAGCACCCCACTCTCTGCCGTACCGTCGCGCGCCGTCTGCTCACCTGAGCGCGTGGCGGCGCGCAGCCGGGGTCACCGCTGCTAGCCGTACCTGGCTCCCGACCGTGGCGCCACCTATGCCCCCGGGCGGAGCCGCCGTGAGCTGGCAGAGAGCTGCTGGAAGCGGCACCATTATCTGACCACGGGAGTGCTACTAACCAAGGCTATATAAACCAGGTAGAACGCTCCGGGAAAAAAGTTGGAAACAATAAATTAGTTGCGGCATTCCCTGATGACGCGAATGTGGGTCAGCGGCCGGCGGCCGGCGGCCGCTAACACTGTATGAGGATGAATGCACGGAACTTTTGCTTGTTGGAGATTGCGCTAGGCAGATAAATGTTAATGTTAGGTTATGTTTCGAAAGTAAATTGAACGACGCTTCGAACGCCGTCAATGAATTTGCGATGCGACGCGTATTTGTTTAGTTAGAGCCGGCGAACTTTTACCTTCCGACCGCGCGGGGAGGCGATATGGTGCCACACTGACGGTTTTTACGATAACTCAAAATTCTTTTGAGCTAAAGAGCTGAAATTTGACATGTACAATCTTTTGATCAAGCTGGATCTTCTGGTACAAGTCGCATATTTAAGGTACGTCAGGTTGTTGACCTATGTTGTCGCTCGTGAGCCTCTACACAGTCCAAAAGCAACGCAATTTCTGGACACTCAGTGCCAAGAAATCCTTCACAGAAAGATGACACTTGGCAGAAAGAAGAGCTGTCGGTTTCTTACCGTTCGTATGTGTCGTGTTTTCACAAGAGTTTAGTAAGGTCAGGTCCCTCACGTGACCTCCCCTCATAACTCAATAGGTTTACTATCATAGAAGCGTTTATCAATCGCCGGAAATCTTAGCCAATCCCACTGGACACTGGATCTATACCCACATGGGGTCCTCCTGACTGGCCACTCCCTCTGAAATCCACAATAACATTGGGCTGCGGCCACGGTTATGTATTAATGCTTTTCACTAACAGAAATGCAACAACTTCAACCAGCACAGTGCACGCCGCCACAACAGTCCGACCCACGTCCCTGATATCGACTAGCACCCGGCCGGATGCACATACGCGGAGCCAATCAGTCCGAATGTGACCTGCAGCTTACAATTGCTGTGTCGCATGGCGCATGGCACAGGACGATTCCTAGCAGCTGTCGGGTGGAGTGGAGAAACAGCACGTTGCGACACACCGCGCCGGCGACAGAGCTCAACAGGCCTGGTTGGAGGCTGGAGCCGGAGGTAAGGGCGGACACAGGCACAGACATTGCAGGACAAATAACAGGATGTCAGTTAGGGATATAATTCAAGACGAATGATTCAAGACGGCCTGAAATAATGGAAATTTTGCTCACTTGGATACCAACTTCAAAGTTGACGTTTATAGCACCACGGAAACAATGGGCGCACAGGAAAGAAACAAAAGATGGGGTGTTTCTAACGCAAGGAAGTAAATAGAGGTTGCATATGATGGAACAGCCCCAAGTGCAGACAAGCACATATTTTTGGTAATAGCTATCAGCCTATCAGCTGTCCTACTACTCTTCTCCCTTCATCAACTACTGGACACATCTGAAGCATCATATATAGGAAGCACCAATGTCCATAACAAATGCTTGGAAGTAGTTTTATGAAGCCAAGGGAAATACATGCTAACATGCCTACATCATGCATGTAAACTCAAAATTACACAGACATGACAAAGGAAGCTTATGTAAAGAGAGTAGTTAGCAAAAGCATTTCATAGTTAAAATTATTCAAAACTGCACACAGGGCAAACATAAAAAGCAGTAAGTGTGCACACTGTGCTGTTCTGTTATGCTAAGAAATAGTTCAAAACAAAATACATCTTTTCATGTTTACTGGTTGTTCTTCTATGCCACTTCACCCATATCTTGATTACAGATGGGCTGTTACTGTAGGCTGATGAAGTGACACTTGGTTGCCTTTGTGCGAGTTTCAGTTGCAGCCTCCTAGGTACTGCACTGGAAAGCAGATGAATGCCTCTGAAAGATAGGAATATAGGCAAAGTTAGCTGTAGTAGTGTCAATGATAATAGACATGACATTTTTGTCCTTTGACATACATTTGTTGAAGTAAAAAAAAGGTACCTACAAAATAAATTGGTTTGTTTCAAGACACGCTCACTGCACAAAGCCGCACAGACATTACACAGGCATATGAAATTGGTACACATAAAACTTGATGATTAAAAAGGTCAAAACTAGCAATAATAATTGAAGTAAAAGTTACAATCACAATCATTTCATTTAAAATGACTTGACATAAGTCACAAGACGCAACGCTCCTATTCACTTAAGAAAAGTTTTATGCTTTCATTATCCTCCACATATCAACCAGCTTGATACCAGGCTGTGCAATAGTGGGTACATAACCCCATGTTGCCATTTTATTAGAGCAAGTGGGGTTACAACAACAATGCTAATGTCAAACCCACATCTGCAACCCGTACTGCAGTTTCAATCACCTTACATTACAAGCACACCTTCTGGCAGTTTGATAGGCAGAATGGTCATTTCTACCTTCTCCTCATATTCAACACATATTCCCTTTATACAGATACAGTTAAGACCTGGTTATGGCAAGCATTTTCGAGAAAAGATAGGATAAGAGTCCAAGACAAACGTCGAGAGAAACAACACCAACATAAAACACCGACTATGTAGCACTAATACTGTCAAATCCATAAAAATATATACATGAGTCGATCAGAAATTCACTGTAGATTTCGAAAATGGTGTCAAATGCCACTCAACTACCCCCATTCGCATGTACGAAGCAATAAAACACTGACCTTCAGTTCCGCGTGCCATTCTCCATAGGCCACTGTGTATTAAATAACGCGTTCACTGATCGCAAAAAATGAGACCCACATATGACGCGTTTGCTACCAGCCAATCAGCGCTCGAGATGCCGAGCGCTGATTGGTGGAGAGGGCCGTCGTTAGCAGTCCATTACATGTCGTTTTTCTTGAACATGTGCGTGAGCGCTGATGCTGCTCACGGGCTGTTGCCATTTTTCGTAATGCTGAAGGCACGGGAGCGAACCCCCCTGCTACTAACTATACACGGCGGACGGCGGAGCGGGCAGCACTGCAGTCAGCGGGCGGCACGGACACTAGAGCACTTCATGGGCCGGATAAATCCGTTATCCACGGATAAATCCGCGGACCGGATAGGATTGGATTCTAAATTTGTTAAAAAAGAACGGATATGGGCGGGCCGGATTTGGGAATTGAAGGTTGAACCCGGATCAAAACGGATCAAAATTTTAACCCTCGCCCTGGCAGGGCATTTTTCATAACACGGCCTGGCAGGGGGGGTCGATGCGACCCCCCCCCCCCTCGCGATTGGCTCCTATGGCACCTAGAAACACCAAATTTGGTAGGTATGTGGGCCCCCTGGAGTTCTCGCCCCTGTGCAAATTTGGTTGCTCTAGGTCAATATTTAGGGGGGTTTTGGGGGGTATAAATGTAAAAATTTCGCTAAAAACAGGTCAAAAGTTTTTCGCTTATAACTTTTGATCTAATTAAGATAGAGCAAAAGGAAAAGCACCAGTGAACTCAGCACGTCAAGTCGCATCGAATGATATACTTTTTAGCTTGCTTAAGTGTACTTAAAGTTTTTCTTAAATTTTAAGTAAACTTAAATTAATAAATTAAGTTCAAGTTCACCAAATTGCATCATATTACATATCATTCGATTCGGCTGATCACCAGGAACACAATGATACCATTTTTTAAGCTCTAGCGTCATTATGTGCCAAGTTATTGGCAAAAACGTCATTTGACCTCAGTTGACCTCATTTGACCTGACCCATGGATAAGTACACCAAACAAAGAAGCACCAAGTGACCTTCTGTTAAGTACTGTGGTTTCAAAGCACAAAAGTGATAGAACAAAGCGGATATCTCCAGTATTTTCCGAATTTAGTATTTTCCCATAGGCTTAACATTACGACGTAATGACCTCTAACTGACCTCAGGTCAGTGACCTCAAAAAACCCGAACGATATGTTATACAACTCGGTGAACTTAGCACATCCTGAAAGTTTGAAGGAAATCAGTCAAAAACTGTGAGTTGGACAGGTGCAAAAAGAAAATTGAAATTTGACTATGACCTTGTACCGGTTTTTCTGACCTGGTGACCTGACCCAAGGTCACCCGGACCTGAAATTTTTAGGTCACATGTAAAAAGGTTGCCCCATAGGCTGTGCCAAATTTGGCGGCGCTGCGCGCCGCCGTTTTTACGCTATCTTCGAAAAACCTTAGGGGGGGGTCGCATCGACCCCCCCCCCCCTGCCAGGGCGAGGGTTAACATTCAACATTGAAGTTAAAAATTAACCTAATGTGTTAAGCGGCAGGATGATACCTAGTTTACCAATGTGGTGATTTTCATGTCTTTAGGTTTATAAGCATGGTTTTTGGAACCATGATGGTCTGTGAGGTGTATGGCTGTCTGGTCCCTTAGATTGAATTTGTTAGTCCAGTTTTGGGTGAAACCAGTTATTGGTGAAACGGATTATTACGGATATTTTTTGGAAGTTTGGCTGCAATACGGGCCATGGGTGGGCCGGATTCTGATATTCAAAGAAAGGCGGATAATGGGCGGATCTGGATATGACTTGCCGGATATGGGCCGGGCCGGATCCTAAAAAGCCTATCCGTGAAGTGCTCTAACGGACACCATGCCATTAGTCCTTGTGTCGATGAGCGGGCGACCTGTGGGGGGGGGGCATTTGCCCCCCCCCTGAGGTTTTTCTTCAATAACGAAAAACGGCGGCGCGCAGCGCCGCCAAATTTTGGGTATGTACGTACCTTACCGGGCATCAATTTGACACCTTCACACAAAATTTTAAGTCACAGGTCGCCTCAGGTCAGGAGTTATTGAGGTCAAACTGAGGTCATGTTCGAGTAAAAATGAGCAAAAAACATGACATTCTGAAACGCTCACCAATTCTACAGTTAACAAGGAATTCTAAAGTTCTTTACCTGGTTGTGTAGAGAAAAGTCGGCGCTACAAAACTGCTTTCTCGGATTTTCGAAATTTTGG